AGTGGTTCTTTCCTCCTTATTTGGATGATTTTGTTCTAAATTTATGTTCACTTATTTGTTTATTTTTTGTTTTGTAAAAAATTAAACAACTTTTAATAGATTTTTCCTCATTTCTTGAATGAAAGAGGGAATTTACTTTTTTTTAGTAAAAATGATAAGTTCTATAATTCAATATAAGTTTTATTCATCTATTAATTTAAAATTTACAAAGTTAATACAATAAGATTAATTGTGAATTTAATTTAAAATTTTAATAAGGTGAAATTTAACTCCAAATAAGTGGCCTAATTTTAAAAAAAAATTGTTACATAAAATTTAAATTAGATTTATGTAGGATTTTTATAATTTTGTTTATCTTATGAATAAAGTAATAATTTTAATTTGAATTCATCTATCCTTTAAATTTTAGCTAACAAGAGAAGTAAATAAAAAATCACAATTTTAATTTAAAGAATAAAATATTAAAATATCTAAATGAAATAACAATTTAAAATTAAATTTTAACAAAACAGATTAAAATTATTTAATGAATGAAAAAATTATCTAAATACTAATAAAATTTTAATTTTTTTAATTTTAAACTCTAATAACAACAAAATTTAATAGTTAATATTCATCCACCGAAAAATGTAAGTCCAAATGGGTCAAAACCCTCGAACAAAACAATTTTACATTTTGCATTTCTTGAGTGCCCGTAGTAACTGTGCTTCCGTAAAGTGGGAAGCAGATGTAATGCATTTTGATTCGTAAGTTAGTTGAATCTTGTATTTAATTTTTTTTAAATAGATATTAACCTAACATTGTCTTTTTTTTTGTCAAAAAAAATTTTACATTTTAAAGAAAAAGAAAAAAAAAACTTTACATGGTAGATCTCACAATACAGGGGGACGTGTAGTTAAGCCCAATATTTCAATCTTTCTTAGGACCCGACCCTAAAATTATTGTTGTAGCGCCAGTGCAGGCACAATCGGCTGCCCGCCCAGTTGAAATTGAATGAATCCCAGCACTGTCAACATCCCAAATGGAACTCCACAAAATCGATAGCTTTGATTGGGACGAGGACTTCACAGAACAAGTAGTGCAAT